CACACACACACACACACACACACACACACACACACACACACACACACACACACACACACAAACCACTACAATTCTGGGATGCACCTACAGTAGTAGCATTACATTTATTAGGAATAAAGACATTTGTGCGTGCAGGGGTCATTATGCTACACATTCTCACTCCCAAGTCGTCACATATTGACGCTTAAGGTAAGGTTCCCTCTGCGTCTTATTTTGACGCGCCGGGTACCCCCTCGCGTCAGTCCTTGACGCCCACGGCTTTTCCGGGTTGCGCCACCAGGGGTCTTTGCGTCGGAGGTCTGAGGTTAACATGAGGGATCAGGATTAATGGTTAAGTTTAGGTACTGGGATCAGGGGTAGGATGTCCATGGTGAATATTAGGTCTTTTTACGCTTTAGAACATGTTCACCTGAATTTCGTACATTTTCTAAAAAATGGTTAATTTTAGCTACTACGGTCAGGGACAGGATGTCTAAAGTGAACAAAGGTAATTTCAGGCTTTGGAACGGTCGTTTTTGCGCATTTTAGACACTTTCTGAAAATATGACAACAGCTTCCGCCCCATCTCGTCAGTAACTGACGTGACGGGGGTACCCTGCGCGTCAAAATCGGACGTAGAGGGAACCTTGCCAAAGCGTCAATATGTGACGACTTGGGAGTGAGAATGGGTTGCATTATGTTACCGCTTTGCAGCATCTAGTTTTTCTTTTTATTTTCAGTGATATTTGGTCAGTCAGCACAAAAACAGCTGCACCGATCAACATGAAATTTGGAGGGCTTTAGATGAGTCTGACCTACACTATGCCAGCCAATGGTTTTACGATAGACCCCATATTTGAGGAGGGGGCTCCTTTCAAAGAGGGGGTGTCTGGACATGCAAAAATGCTTATAACTCAGAAAATGTTCAACATAGAAGCTTCAGATTTCTTTTGTTGTTTAGCTCTGATGAAGCTCTATCCATCAGGCCCACCAATCAGTGCTCCCCACCCCCGCCAGACCCCCAATTCATCTTAAAAAGGGGTATCTGGACATACAAAAATGCTTATAGCTCAAAAACTAATAAACATAGCTTCAGATTTCTTTTGTTGTTTAGCTCTGATGAGGGGCTATCCATCAGGTCAACCAATGCCTCACCCTCACCCCCCACCCTCCAAAAAAGAAAGGTCCCCCACACAAACCATTACAATTTTGGGATGCACCTATAGCATGATATTCATTGGGAATAAAGACTTCTGATTTCTGGTGCATTTGCCCGTGCGGGGGTCATTATGTTACCGCTGTGCGGTATCTAGTTTTTCAAATGATTGACACGTAAAGGTTTTGGCCATCTCTTAGAAATGTGAGGCGTTTGAATAATGCCTCGTGAAAAAAATATTCCAGGTCCGTATTATACTGAGAATTACACATAAAATCCTTGATTAAAAAAAYACAACCTTGTACTAGATGAATGTGCAGATGAATAAAGTCCTCCTCATTATTGCCTGAAGGCAAAGGCAGAGCAATAATATTTTTGTATTTCCTTTCGTCAGCAAAACATCTCATGAGTTATCATACGGACTCAGAAAGTAATCCCTGGCTGAAGAACTGATCAACATTTGGAGCCAATCCAACCGAAGATGGCTGCCACAGCTAATCGATACTAGCCAGCAGAAAATGACTGCAGCTCAGTCAGTTTAACAGGAATTGAAGGTTTGATGCGGTAGCTGAGAGTCATCTGAGCTTAACATTTTTCAATATAAAACTGCACATAACGTTACAGCTCCATAATTTCCCAATATCAGATGATCTCAGACTAAACCGCAGGTGCTTTCCTTCAAGAAATGCTAGGTCCATAATAAATATCTGCTTGACTGGTGGAATATATTTTGTACATTTAAACTTTAAAAGTCTACTTTTACAATTAGCCAGCAGCCCTCCTTACTCTGAGCCCCATCAGTTAGTAGGTCAGCTGACAGTAAATCAAGGCCGAGTTAAATKAACAAAACCTGCAGGCACTGATAAGCCTTATCAGAGAATAAAATGCTTCCATGTGTGCAAAAGAAAATGAAAACACGCTGTTACTAAAGCACAGCTGGACTCTGATGATTATAGGCCAAGTCCATGCAAACATTTGGGACAATAACTGCATCTTTGGTTTCACTTAAACTTCTAAAGTGTGTCCTGATATTTTTTGTTGCTTCTTGAGAGTAACAGGAACTTTGCTCAGAGTCTTTTTAATAGAAACAAAAACTTGTGGAAAACTTTTGGTGTTGATTTTATATTCATCAAGCTATTTGATGGCTCGTTTCTCCAAGATGCAATGGAACTCAAAAAGTGGACTTTGACTTTCTGAAATCAAACTTATAAAGCTGAAATGACAATAGCGAAATATTTGTTTTCAAAAGTTTTAAAGTTTTTATTTTTTTATAAATAATTTCGGCAGAGCTCCATGAATCTGACTGATACAGTTTGTGTCCTGCATAATAAACCACGACAGATTCACATCAGTTTAACATAAAGCAGGAGTTCTCTCATCAGCCTGTACTGCCATCTACTGGCGAACAATATAACTGCATATATATTATATGTTATATTTTAAAAATAATAATTAAAACAGATTCGATTTTATGATCGTATTTTAAAAAGCATTTATTAGATTTAAGTTTTAATTTTTGAATTTTCTGTTCCAATCTGCCCTTCGGCTTGCTGAAACTTCATTAGCACCCCCTGGTGGCCACTACTTTCAACTCGCCTCAATTTACGTCATCACTGCGCGTCCCAAACATCCATTCCCTTCCGAAAAGACTCGTCGCACGTGAGTTTGTTTTAGATATTTTAACCTCGTTGTTTAACAGTCCATCTTTATTCTACCCAATAAACAAAAGGTCTCAGTTTTAATTCAACACCATCTACTGTTTTTGACTCGTTAGCTCGTAAATTAGCATGAAAATGTTTCTTATTAGCTTCGAAATGTCCTTTTTTTTGTATTACTGACAAGTACATGATAGCCGACCTAAAGCTGGACTTAGGCTTTTATCAGAATCCGTTGTAGTTTACTATTTGGTTCCCATCGATCTAAACGATCAGGAAATACTTTTTCACTTTAAACATCTCAGTACGTCCTATTCGAGTTTTCTGCTGAATCAGATCACTAAAATTATTTTGTTTATTTAATAAATAAAGCGGTTCCTCCTGTGAGAACTTTTTATTTCAAGTGCTATTTTCAACRTGATTATTGCAACTCCCACTTCTTTTCGGACTGATTCGTGTTTTCTCATCACTGTCCTGTTTTACTCAGACAAGACCGAACATCTGCAACACTCTACGTACATCCAGCCTCGCCGAGCTTCAGAACAATGCTGGCAAAAGAGGAAAAGCAGCAGAAAGGAGAACGAAGCAAGAGGAGACACCCGGGTGAAGACGGGAGAGGAGAAAAGAGGAAGAGAAAGGATGGTGAAGAGCGACCAGGAGCTAAGAGAGGCGCTGGGAAGATGCGACTGGATGCAATGAGTGTCGGCTATTTCCGCCGGGTCGGGGAAAGACTCGGTGACGGCTTCGAAGATGATGAGGAGAGAGGTGAGGAGGATTGATTTTCTCAGGTAAAGTTCATCATTAGTCAGCCAGGAGATCCAGGGCCAGGTGTTCTGCCGGAAGCTAAATAACATCATGTTAGATCAGTTCTAAAAGAGGCCTATGTTTATAGGAAGTACGTTGAGATTAACGTGTCTTTTTTAAGGGAAACCTGGTGAAGATGACACATGATTACAAACTTACAAGCTAAAAGCGCACAATTGAAAAAGAACCACTGTGAAGGAACATAATAGCTGAAGAGCAGCAGTTGCACTTTTCAATTACAGAAAACCTTTTTAGAACTTTAAACTTCCTTAAAGAGTCAAAAACATTAAACTTTAGTATGGACTGAATGGGCCTCATGCAAGAACCGTTCGTACGCACAGATCTGTTCTTAAGTTGTGCGTACGAGTGATTTAGG